ATTGTTTGCCAAGAGATTATTCAAATTGCAGGTTGTTGCGAGGGATTTTTGGGCAATTGTAGGTTGTGAGGGATTTTGAGGGATTTTTGGGCAATTGCAGGTTGTTGTAAGGGATTTGTGGGCAATTGAGTTCAATGAATTGAGCTGAGTTCGATGGAACCTATTTGCTAGGTTACATCAAACCCAGATCTGTTGGGTTCTGTCGAACTTCAATCTTGAAAATGGAAAGAACGCCGTTTATGGAAAGAAGAAAAACAGTAACTTGGCACGATTTCGTCAGGGTAGCATGTGACATGGCATAAGTTTTATACATATCATCACTTTTTTAAGTTTTGCTCTCCACATCAGCAAAAAAAATATAAAAAATGCCACCTAAGCAGGGTTAACGGCCCAAATTAACAGAAAGACTAACGGAGTGCATTTTGTATAGTTGAGGGATCAAAAAAGTGCAAAAAATTGTTGAGGGACCAAAAATGTGCATTTCATAAAGTTAAGGGACCAAATTAAGCATTTAACCTTTATTTTTTTAGTTTTATATACAACTTAATAATTAAAAGGTATATTAATTAAATCATTAATCTTGCCATAAAGACATAGGTTAAAAAATCTATTATAAAATAATATAATGTTGAACACAGAAATTAATAAATTTATTTTACTAAAATTACATGGAATGTTTACACAGTAAACTTAGCCTTTGTGGAAACCATTGGAAAATTTACGGCCTAATGAAAATGTCTTTACTCCTACAAATAAATTTGGGTTTATTCTGATATATATAATTGAGCTTGAAGACTTAAAAATAATTAATGGATGAAGTTCAAGCTCCTCATTTTTAAACTGATGGTGTTTACAAAGTTTTGTTGCTTATATTTCTTTGAGATCTGCAGATAAAGGAAAACAAAATATTCTTTTGAGATTTACATTCCATCTCAAATATTGTCAATTAATGTAATATTAAATCAAATAAACTCTGGTTATAGTCTATTGGTATTGCACAAAGTATGGACTATTTAACAGTGACATTATTGCTTAGCATTGAAGCGTGTGCAAGATACTAGAACAGAAGATTGAAAGTCAAGAACAATTGGACATGAAATAATTCATAGAAAACAATTGAAAGCAAAGGATATGGAAAAAGGAAGTTTCATATAGACGTATGCAATGGGATGTGGAAAAAGCATGTCTAGCATCTTTTTTTTACCAAACTTAATAACTCCATAACAAAAAAGAGAGATATAAAGAAATTTCAAACTGAAGAAAAAGACTAAAGTAAGCGTATGCAAGGGGGTGAAAAACTACATATTAGGTCCCATCTGATCGAGTTATTGGAGAACTAAATGATAAAATTAATTAGTGGATTAAGCTCAAGCTCCTTAATATTTAAACTGGTGTTCACATGATTTGCTGCTTATACTTTTTGGAGATCTTCGGATAAAGGAAGAAAAAAATTTTAAAAAATTTACATTCTATCTCATATTATTTTAAATTACACGATATTGATTTAAGTAAATTTTTACTTATAATCTACTCAAAATATGGACTATATATAGCATAGTGACGTTATTACTTGGCTCTAAAGCATATGAAAAATACTAGAATAAGAGGTTGAAAAGTCAAGAATAATTAAATACAAAATAATTCATTGAAAACAATTGGAAGTAAAGAAAAGGAAAATGGAAATTTCATATAGGCGTATGCAATGGGGTGTGGGAAAAACATGTTTCGGTCCCATCCGAACTGGTGAGGTAATTAATGGCAGGCGTGTCCAATGGGTTACAAAAATAGAATTGAAAAACAATGCTAAGCAAATAATTCAATACTACAATGACTCCCGCTATTGATCGTTTTAGATTAAACAACTTCATCGGTCATCTACGCTAAGGTTCCTTTCTATCAAGTTTTGTTTCTGGTAAGCATCTTGACTCAGCTCCATTTCTTCTCTACTATAGTATGTACCTTTTGATGTTTATTAACAATTATATGGTGATGTTTTTTGTTGATAAAAAAAAATATAAGCATAATCTTCCTCAATGCTATAATTGGTATCTTCTCAAATATGGAAAAATAAAAAAATAAAAATTTGCTATTAAGTTACAGGAACCATAACAACTTCATATATTATTCACATCCAAATAGTTTTAGCTATTTCATTAATTCTATTTGCAATAAAAAAAAAAAAAGAAGCTAAACTGAGTAAGCAAACATATAATCAAGTAATTAAAAGAAATATATATATCTCATTAAATTGGAAAATTATTGATAAAACTATTAAAAATATAATATAAATACAGTTGATTCAGTTAGCTTTTACATTTTGTATATATGATTGTATCTTTAAACTTGTTTATCTTTAATTTTAAATAAAATAATAATTTTTTAATAAATATGTTACATAATATTTTAAACCAGAGTACATACCAATAATTGTCTCGCCAAATTACTCCACTAGAAAAAGTATATTACAATACTTGAGTGTCTTTTATTTATAAGAATTGCAAATTAGCACAACCTTGATATGAGCAAATAAACTTATTTGAAGTTATGGGGGAAAAAAAACACTTATTTAAATTTTGAACTATGTTGTATTAAGTACTTCTCGGTACTTGTAAATGCTTATAGCTTTTGCCATTAAGTCACCAACTGTGTTTTCTGGAGAATGTTACTTTCATTAACATATTGGTTTTTACATTTATGATAGAAATGGAAAGTCATTGGTATATCATTTAATTCAACATGTTGCATAATATATGTAATAAAAAATTATTATTGATTTGATATTAAAAACAAACAAATTTGAAGATGCAACCATGTAGCATGCAAAAATCGGTTTAATTAATTATATTTATATTATATTTTAATAGTTTAATCAAACAAGTACTGAAAGGTGTGTCAAATTAAAGGGTATACCAATCATTTTTTTTTTTGTAGAAATTCACTCTCTTAATTAAAATTTAGCCCCACTGAAAATTCTTAATATGAAAGTAAACTTAACTAGAGTAAACTTAAGGGAAAATTATAAAAGTAAACTTTATTTTCAATTCCATTGCCACATTGAGCTATTTAATTTGATAGTTGATAAAATTTAAATCAATTTTTATTTTTTTATACAAATTAATGGTGAAAAAATGTAATAAATATAGTTTTAATTAGATTAAAAAATTCCTTTTATTTAAATTGATAGTTGATAAAATTTAAACCAATTTTTATTTTTTCTCTATAAATTAATGGTGAAAAGGTGTAATAAATACACCTTTAATTAGATTAAAAAATTCCTTTTATTTAAAGGATTACTGTAGTCAAGGTGATATCCTAAAAGTTTTTTTGGAAGACCTAGCTTTACATTCTAATTAATATTTTCGAAAACAAATCATTAGATTAAAAATTTTGTTCATATAAATCATACATATCAATTTTCATATTGGTTTAACACTTATAATTTTTTGATCAAGAAACTTTGTCTAATGACATTTATTTAACGGTGTTAAATTTTGTGTATTTAATGAATTGGCTAGACCTACAAGATCAATCTAAAAATTGATATGCATGATCTATATAAATAGAATTTTCAATTCAATGGTTGGTTTTCAAAAATATTAATTAGAAAATAAGTTTTTAAACATGTCCTTGAAAAAACATTTGAGAGAAGGACTTGTAAAACATTTTTTTCCATGTATAGAGTTTGATCTTGTTATGTGGGTTAATTAACAACAAACAAGCTTAATAAAATAGGGTTTGTTCTTTGATGTCATAACTATTTCTATATAGAAATGAATTTCTCTATCTTGTGCCCTTAATTAGGGAATAATGTTTTTTTATGAAAAATAGAGATTTGCATTGAAAAGTAAAAAGAGATTACGTCATATATTTATGTATCATGGAACTATATATATAGCCTAAAATTGAAGTATAACTTATAGCACTAATTACATATGTAAACTACGCCCATGATGAATCTAAAAAATTAAGTATAAAGAGGCATTTGCAATTAAAGATTAAAAACAATTGTTATTAGGGTAAAAACAAAGCTACTTAGGTACAAGGATTATCTTAACTACACCACACGAAGCACGGCCCTATACCTTATTTTTTTAGAATTTGAGATATGACACATGAAGAGCGTGGAAAATTTAAAAAAAATGAAATATATAAATAAAAATTTTCATACAATATTGAATCTAATATTTAAATGTGATAAAAATAATTAATTTATAATAATACTTCATATGTTAAACACTATTCCCTTTTCTCAATGATGTTCTAACATTTTTAATGTCAAGTTGCCTAATCTTCTATTTTCTCTATGTCTACCAGTATTATTGAAATAAAGAGTTTATTTCTTCTATCTCTAATGTGCTTTGTATTCAGTTTGTACGTGTTAAGGCAATCATATTATTTAGTCATTTTTCATGTTATTCTCGTCCATTTTTATAGAGTGAGTCTAAAAAAATTGAGAGAAAAATCGTAATATCCATGGGGCCGTTTTCAAGAGTGTTCTAGTATAATGTTGAAGTTCAGTCTGTGCTTACAGTTAGGCACTTTACACTAATTTCCTCGCATATGCTTGACATATAATATTCCAACAGTGAGTTTACATTTTTCCTCCATTTAAAATTAGACATTTTTATTTTAGGATACTATTCAATCAGGAAAGATCCATGTTGCTGCCTAGTATACAACGTTGTGGAAAAGTTGGAATACAAAACTTAAGAAGTCAATAACAGAAAAAGAGTGATAAAGACATTTCGAAGTGAAGGAAAAAACCAAAGTTTGGGATGGTGGCGTGAAGCACATCCGGGTAAAAGTCTTCCACTTATTCTTGATCACATTTTCTATATAGCAGGAGATAATATGGAATTTTCAAGTAGGCGTATGCAACAGGATAGAAAAAACATGTTCGGTCGCATCCAAGTTATTTGGGAAATTAACGGCAGACGTGTCTAATGGGGTATCAAAATAGAATACTCCTTAGTTATTTTAATTTAAATTTTTAATTTTTTTAGATATTAATTTCATATAAAAATTTAATAAAATACATAAATAATTAAAAATTGATTTTTTTTTCTTTTGTATAGCTCTTATTTAGTAGTTTTATTTGATTTTACAAAATTTTTAAATTTTAATTATCATTTTTATGTTAAATTTGTATATGAATTTAATGTTTAAAAAATTAAAATATTAAATTACAACAATTAAAATTAAACAAAGGTAGTGTATATATAGATATATAATTAATGCTCGTTACTCCCTGACTATTGATTTTCGCTCAAATAACCTCAATGATCCATTACCTATAGCATCTACTCCAATGTGTTTATCTTAGAACTTTTTTCTAACAATAATTTGTCAAGTTTTCTTTCTAATATCATGTCCTATGAGCGTTCATTTTAAAACTAATTACAATAGTTGAGATGACCTCTCTATATATTTAACTACAAACAAGCTTATAATTAATAGAATGAACGTTTGTGCTTTAATGTCATGACTATTTCTATATAAACAATAAAAGTTTCTTGCCATAGTTGGATGGGGAGGGTGCAATATAATGGAGTCAATCCTTCATCTAATTGTTTTTATTGTATAATTTAAATTGTAAAATAATTTTTTGAAAGAATAAAGTAATTTATATAGAATAGATTTTGATAATCCCAAGAATATTGATTGATATATATTTCAATTTAACATATTGTATAATATATATTAAAAAATATTACTTTTAATCTAAAATTAAAAATAAATAAGCTTCGAAATGCAATTACACACATAAAATATAAAAATTAACTAAATTGAATTATTCTTATATTATATTTTAATAACTAAACTAAATAAATATTAAAAAATATATTAAATTAAGTATATACTAATCATTTCCCCAATTCGAATCCCACAATGGTAGAACAGAGAAGAAGAAAAAAATGCCAAAGAGGCCCAACGGATGGAAAAGAGAGCTAACAGTAAAGAAAGCGAAAAAAAAAAAAAAGAAGAAAAGAAAAGAAAAGAAAAAGTCAACAAAGGAGCTCTGGCGGTCTGGCCTTGGCCATGCGTCCTATCTTATTTTTGATCAGGAAAAATGTCTCCTAACTAAATTACATAGAATAAGTACAGAACTTAGACACAACTGTTTAGTAGTTTAAGCCAATGATGTTCCCATGGTTTGTATCTCAAGTGTTAAATTATGCTACCGTAATTAATTCATTAAAGTTTTCCATGTCATCAAGGGTTCATGTAGCATCTTATAGTATTAAACATATTAGGGCAACTAATTTCTTGTTAAAAGTAGAATAGTTTTATAGTAAATGGGTTTAAAAAAATGAAGAGAAAACGTGTAGCATAATAAGGCTGTTTTTAAAGAGGGATGTTCCAATAACATTGAAGTCTCAGTCTACACCCGCACTTGGCCACTTTAAAAAGTTACAAGTTTTTTCAAAAGGATGGGGAAAGAAAGAAAGAAAGAAAAGCGTGTGGAAAAGTAGAAAAGATAAAAACAGTGATATCAATTGATTGGTTAAAGTTTGGGAAAGTGGAGCACATCAGGACACAAGTCTACCATATCTTTTTGTCTTGACCACATTTTCTATCTTAGGAGGACATAATATTTTGTTTATTGTTTGTCTGCACACTGCAATATTGGGTAGGGAAATAGCATTGCAACCTCTGGGAAATGAAATAATAAATACAACATTTAACTCCAGTTTCCAGGGCATATACCTTTATTATTTAATTTACTTATATAATTTTATGATGATATTTTTTTATCAATTCACTTTGGTGTGAGTTAAATTCTCAATATGTGCTTTCGGTGCTTGGAGAGGGGACTTAATTCCAAGAGAAAATGCATGCATGTTAGGTCCAATCCGATCGAGTTTCCGGAAAAGTTAATGGCAGGCGGGTTTTGATGGGTAATGGATAGAAAAATGAACTTTAGGAGCAATAAATACAAAAATGTCTGATTGTCTG